ATTTGTTTCAAATATATAATATTAGAAAGACTTACCTCGCATGTGTTATGCTGACAGTACCGATGAGAACATGTAAAAGCGAGATGAAATAATGCAGTGGACCTTAGAAGAACGCGAGAAGCGCACGAGAAATATTGTATTTTTTTGTACATAAGCAGGTGGTTTAGGCTCTTATTTCAATTTCAGCTGAAGCACTTCCGGCTTCATGCTTGCGCAGACTTATGGGCTACGGGACTTCCCCACTTTCATTTTCTCAACACGCTATTGAGATTGTTCCCTTCGATGACATTGCGTTTGAGTCTTTCTCGGCGCTTTCTCAGTCTTAGTAACTTTGTTTGAAACATTTTCATCACGGATTGAGGAAGCTAAGTCGTAAAACAGTCACATGTGCCTTCCATTTCCGCGACAGAGGTAAGAACGCATGGTTGTATCAGATTTTTGAATACAAGGTAAATCACTTTTATCTCGAGTTTCTCGGATAATATTTTCTCCTTCAAGAATGTTCTTGATCTGTCCTAAGTTTCTCTGATATACGGCAATGAAAGACGTTCCTGTAGTTAACTGACAAGGATTGCTAACCTTTACTTGATTCTGGCGTGCATCGATTGTGAGCCGCTTCTTGTAACCTCATAAGTTAGTTAAGCTTAGCTTACATGAACATGTTATTACTCTCGAATTTACAAAAATTCGCAGGCAATGCCTGGCAGTTCCCTCGGAAAAAATAAATAATTCAGGAGAGTTAAAAGGAATATCCAAATTATCGATTTTATTCAGGGCAATCGCCGATGATCAAAACACTTTCGGTTTCGTTTGCGAAAAGCGCGCGAGAAATATTGAATTTTCATGTATATAAACACGTTCTGTTTATTTACATAAAGGCTTTCAATTTCAGCTGAAGCACTTCCGGCTTCAAGCCTGCACAGACTTATGGGCCACGGGACTTCCCCACTTTCATTTTCTCAGCGCGCTGTTGAGCTTCTTCGTTCTATGATATAGCGTTTGAGTCTTTCTTGGTATTTTCTCCACCATAGTGACTTTCTTTGAAACATTTCCGTGACAGACTGAGGAAGCAAGGTCGTAAAACACTCAAACGTGCCTTCCACTTCCGCGACAGAGGTAAGAAAATATGGTTGTATCAGATTTTTAAATACAAGGTGAATACTTTTCTTTGGAGTTTCTCAGTTAACATTTTCTCCTTCAAATGTTCTTAAGACGTTCCTGCCGTTAACTGACAAGGATTGCTAACTTTTACTTGATTCCGGCGTGTATCAATTGTAAGCCGCTTCTTGTAACCTCATAAGTTAGTTAAGCTGAGCTTACATGAATATGTTACTACTCTCGAATTTACCAAAATTCGCAGGCAATACCTAGCAGTTACCTCGGAAAAAATAAGTAATTCAGGAGAGTTAAAAGGAATATCCAAATTATCGATTTTATTCAGGGCAATCGCCGATGATCGAAACACTTTCAGTTTCGTTTGCGTGTCATGTGCTTGTGGAGCAAGCACACGGAAGTGTTTTGCATTAGCTTTCATGTCGGGGTTATGTATTACCTTAAATTGCTCCAGTATTTGCGATGTATTTGATCAAAAAACGATAAATATTTCCAGGGTATTTGATGTATTTATGTTTATTATTTTATTGTTTGAAAGTAATTTTTTCTTTCTGATAGACTACTTAGATTCTTTTCCCAAACTGTACTGTTATACTATACGTAATTTTCGTTGTTACCCTTATCAATTTTATGGCTACCCTTTTGGCTGTGAGTGTGATAATTCGCGAGATGCATAAAGCACATACTGCTCAGAACTCTTTGGATATGAATACTATAAACACACTTTGGCAATTTCTGGCACCACCACTTTTATAATTTATTTAAAGAGATTCTTTAAGTTTGGTAAAAGCTTTTCGACGATGATAGGAACATCCTTCGTAAGCAATTTTCTTTGGAGTGAGGAAGGAAAGGAAAATCACTGGGTGCCCACTCTTGTCCCCGGAGCTACTCGTTGTCTCTCATTTCGAACAAGAAGAATGCTTGTTGATTGCGTTTCTGAGACTCACCTCTCATGTTTAGTGTGTAGAGTGCTAAGGAAACTTGTAAACATGAGAAGTAATCACATAAAGTATTGCTGCTCGGATCGTGTGAAACACTTGTTAGAAAAAAAAAAAGCAGTTGGATAACGAATAACTTATCAGACTGTTTGTTATGTAGCATTTCTTTGTATTTTCACCTGTTGTTTGTGTTGTGACGAGCCCGTAGGGTATCAAAATACGGCAGAATTCATAAAAATACTCAGGTACGTCACCGTTAGATAAAGAAAATCCAAAGAATCCTTTATGGAAAAAAACTGGAAACGTTTCTCCTGAAGCAGTGCGGCGCCACAAACCCTCCGGGCTCTAAAGTCATTTAAAAAAAATGCAATCACAAAATGAGATTAAGATTTAAAAACAGTTTCTGTTCACGCTGCAGCAAAATGTATATGAATATATTTCTATCTCTAACATTAGAAAAGAGTTACCCCATATGCTAACAGTGCTAATGAGAACATATAAAAGTGAGATGTAATAACGTAGTGGACCTTAGAAGAACGCGAGAAGCGCGCGAGAAATATTAAATTTTCATGTATATAAACATGTTGTGTTTATTTACATAAAGGCTTTCAATTTCAGCTGAAGCACTTCCGGCTTCAAGCCTGCACAGACTTATGGGCCACGGGACTTCCCCACTTTCATTTTCTCAGCGCGCTGTTGAGCTTCTTCGTTCTATGATATAGCGTTTGAGTCTTTCTTGGTATTTTCTCCACCATAGTGACTTTCTTTGAAACATTTCCGTGACAGACTGAGGAAGCAAGGTCGTAAAACAGTTAAACGTGCCTTTCATTTCCGCGACAGAGGTAAGAAAACATGGTTGTATCAGATTTTTGAATACAAGGTAAATACTTTTATTTCGAATTTCTCAGGTAACATTTTCTCCTATAAATGTTCTTAATCTGTCCTAATTTTCTCTGATATCCGGCGATGAAAGACGTTCCTGTAGTAAACTGACGATGATTGCTTACTTTTACTTGATTCTGGCGTGTATCAATTGTGAGCCGCTTCTTGTAACCTCATAAGTTAGTTAAGCTGAGCTTACATGAACATGTTACTACTCTCGAATTTACAAAAATTCGCAGGCAATGCCGGGCAGTTACCTTAGAAAAAATAAGTAATTCAGGAGAGTTAAAAGGAATATCCAAATTATCGATTTTATTCAGTGCAAGCACCGATGATCGAAACACTTTCAATTTCGTTTGCGTGTCATGTGCTTGTGGAGCATAGACACGAAAGTGTTTGGCACTAGTTTTCATGTCGGGATTATGTATTAACTTAAATTGCTCCCGTATGTGCAATGCATTTGACCAAGAAACGATAAACATTTTCAGCGTATTTGATGTGTTTATGTTTATTATTATATAGTTTGAATTAAGTAATTTTTTCTTTTCGATAGACTGCTTAGATTCTCCTTCCAAACTTTACTGTTACACTGATTTCCTTTATAAATATTGAGATAAGTTAATTTTTCTTCAAATGACAGCTAGTGATTTATTTTAAGCGTCCTTTACATTGATTGCATTCGATCGAGTTTTGGTAATCCAATTCATCAAGTGGTAATGATATATTGGTATCCGAGTAAAGTTTTACCCTTTGTTACCTGCTAATCAATATATGATCAGTCAATAATCACATCAACTGACTGTTTCCAATATATATATTTTTTTTATCAAAACTGGTTTAGTTGTGCATGTGGCTGCTCACATCTAATTATGTGTTTAGTGATAATTTACGTTATTACATGGCAAGGTAGTCTTGAGTTAAATTTGAGAGTTCTGATTGGTTCCAACTTAATCAGGATTTTGTTACATAGACCATCATTGCACCAGACAATCATGAAACATGTATTTTTTAACTCGAAAGCCAGAAAATTAAAAGTAAACTAGTTTAGTTCAAGTAACATTAGTGCATGACTATTACCTTGTTTCTTAAGCCATACTTGGGAATATTGGCACTATGTCATTCCTATACCAACACAATCTTGGGTCAATATTCCCCAGTAAACCCTCACAAACTATCTATAATTTAAGAAGTGTTAAGTGTCTGAGTGAAGTTTTACCTTTTGTCATCTGCTAATCAACATACGATCAATCAATAATCATACCAACTGAATGTTTCCGATCAATTTTTTTTTTATCAAAACTGGTTTAGTTCTGCATGAGGCTGCATGCATCCAAGTATGTGTTTGGTGATAATTTATGTTGTTATATGCCAAGGTAGTCTTGGGATAAATGTAAAGTTCTGATTGGTTCTTACTTGGTCAGGATTTTGCCACATAAACCATCATTGCACCATACAGAAAATCATAAAACATGTAAATTCATTGTAAACTAGTTTAGTCCAAGTGACATTGGTGCATTACAATTACCGGTGGACTTCCATCCTGTCCAGGGCTGGGTAGTAATACTCCCAGTTGCTTCATGTGAGGAAACCAGGATTAAGTAAAGCTCATGCCCTGGACAGGCAACTTTTCAAATCCAGATGGGACCTAACTACCTACCATCTCTTAGTTTAAATGATTTAAATCGCTACTGTTACAAATTATATAAACTTGAAACACACAGATGTTGATTTTTGCCCAATTTATTTCAGTCAATTGCATAGGAATGTCTTTGGTAAATCTTGAAATTTATTGTAATGAGAAGTAAATTACTATTTATTTAAATATTAATGCTTGTTTTCTTCAGTATATATATCTTTTGTTCTTTTACTGCTTTAAATATGCTATTAATATTAATTGCTTGTGATTTTGTGTCTATGTATCCCTCCCATTCTCAGAAGGGAAAAAATGTTTATTTTACAACTGGGAATATGTTGAGCTAATTTTTTACCATTTGCAACCATCTTTTTTTCAGGCCAGGATGATTTAAAACAGCAACTTTTTGAAAGAAGCATCCCCTTACAGTTGCTATGGCAAAAGAAAGAAGTCCAATTAAGGTTCCATCTGAAAATGAAGACTTACCTAATACAGAGAATGCTCCAGGTTTTGATGACGACACTTTACGAGGTGAGCTTGGTTCAACTTTGGCTTCAGTCACTGTTAAAACGTTTTCTATTCCACCAGTTTCAAGAATGTAAGCAGATGTGGAGAATGATGTTAATACACTGCATGACCACTTTAGAGGATATTTGGCCAGTCATGACTCTCTTTTATGATTACAATATGCTGTTCATTGACTGAGAGGATCTATGACATATTTGTTATTTTCTTTTCTCAAAGTTCAAAGCAAGTACACAAAGTTATAAGAAGTAAAGACTTTATTTGATCATCATATAACATTCATTTCGTAAGTTTGCATCATAAGTACCATCATCATCATCACCATCTTTCCATTATATTATGCAACATTAAATTGAAAGTTTCAACTTCCCCTAAGCAACCAATTTCCAGTAGAGTGCAAGTGTTATATCATTGAATATGGAGGTGTTTAACCCTTGACACCCTAACATCAGTATCCATATTCTCCATACTATTCTTTGTACGTTTCTTGTGGTACTGAAAAAGAGAATTGGTTTGAAGATCAATGCTTCTTAGGTTGGTGATCATTTCCTTTATTCTCATGAGCTTAGTGAATGATTCAGCAGTATTACTGTAAGGAGAAGTGAGATGCTGGTCACTCTTAGGGTTTAAAGAGTTTAAAGGTAGATAGTGAACTTTCACTAACAAATGGCTCAGAAGAAAAAAGTCTACAAGGTCTAGGTTTTAAAGTTTGGTCAATTAGTTGAAAGTCAGGTTGCTTATTATTATTATTATTATTATTTATTATTATTTTTTTTTGGCCTAAAGATTGTGTGGGGCATTTAAACACATTATTAATTTTGCCTGTGGAATAGGAATTTTAGGAAACCAAAAGTTTAAATGCCTAAGGGTTTGCTTCTAATTGAGTGACGCTTAATTCTCATCATTGTTATTACCACTGTTGTCAACCAAATTATTAACATCATTATTAAATATTAATCTCATCTTCTTTATCATTATTCTTATGATTTATATAATAACTGTTAGTTATATAATAACTGTTGAAGGGGGGAGGGGGGGACTGCACACATCCTCCAAGCTTTTCAGGGGATGGGTAGAGTCAGGCAGGTGCAAAAGTGGTAGCTGGCACTAAAGGAAAAATCTACAGATTTTAAATCTCCAGATCTTGGCAGCTCTGCTTATGCACTAATTAACTACAACCACAGCTAATTATTAACTACAACCACAGACTTTGACACAAATTATTTTTTATTTTTTCTTTGCAGCCGCAGCTGATGTTTATAGGAATGAGGGTAATGAGGCCTTCAAGAAAGGAGATTTCATCAATGCTATTCATTTTTACACCAAAGGAATTAATATGAACTGCAACGAGAAAGAACTGAAGGCCAAACTACACAACAACAGGGCTATTGCACATTCTAAACTTGGTAAGATGATGAGAGCTTTTCTATTTTGAAGCTATTGAGTTGTCAGTGGTAGTTTTCTGAAAACGGTGATAATTTTTAATGCATGCCTGGAAAAATTTACATCTTATCTTGGCCTCTCAAATATACAAAGAAGTAACCTCTTACCCCAGATATCAATGAGCATCACAAGTTTTTCCCAAAATTATAGTAATGGTAGTTGGTTTGCAACATGTATGGCTAATCAGAGATGTTTATTTCTGCAATAACAGGAAATCACCAGGATTCACTAAGGGATGCAGAAGCAGCCATTGAGTTAGATCCAACTTTCCTTAAGGCAATTGTGAGAGGTTAGATATGTTAGCTGTACTATAATAATAATAATAAAAATAACTCAACACTCTAAGGTTAAATGAGGTTAAATGGAGTTCAATCTTGTCTCAATTGACTTTAATTAAGAGGTCAAGACCACCCTGATGTACATTTGAATCCAGCTCCTGACTGTTACGCCATTACTTCCATTAATCATGATGAGAAGATTATTTTGAACGGGATGAAGAACTAAATGCGGAATGCAAAGCAAAATTTCAGCATAAATATTTTAGTTCCTTAAGTTCAATGAGTCACAGGTGTCAGATATGTTAAGAGCGTGTCGACGAGAGCACCGGGCAGTCGTGCTACATGCCATCTCACCGATTTCAATGAAACTTTGTCAGTTTAAAGGGTCTACCCCAAAACTAAAAAAGACAAACTGGTTTCTGTTTTGGTTTTTTTCCGGGGGGAGATAGACCACCCCCCCTCGTTTTTTCTTGGTTTTCACTAAGGAAATCGCTTCAAATAGGTAAAGTGTATGAAGCTCTCACTGCGATGGTGTTCAACCGATTACTTTGAAGATTTGCACACATATTTTTACATCCTTAGTTAATGTCTGCTGCGAGTATCAGTCAGTTTGATCGACGGCTTGTCAATCAACAGAGGCAAATATACGACTGTGTTTTTAGACTTTTCGATTCATCCAAATATTTGACAACTTTGAGGTCAAATATCTCCCGTTGCCAGAAAGCTACAACACTAATCTTAATTACCCTTTATAACCCATCATTTCATCTCTGAAAATCATCACTCTTTGGGCACTACCGTATTTTTGTCTTGGATACCTTTTAAAATCTGCGACTGTGACAAGTTTCTCTCAACTACACCTGTCACGCAATTCTTGCTCTAGGCGGTCACTTGACAAAATAAACCTATATTTTTTAGCTCTTTATACAAGATGATTGATCAAGAAAGGTGAAAAATGTGAAAAACTTTCGAGAAAAACTTTCGAGATGCATGTAGACGAAAAATCAATGGGAAAATCGTAGCGTTTCTTTCTTCAGTCGTTTATTACTTTTAAGATTTGCTAAAATCAGCAGATATGGCTTTTGTACGACACAAAACATTCATTACCCTATAATTTGATTTTTTATCATCATCATTGCTCATTTTAGGAGATTTTAAAGTCGCATGCTGCGTGTTGGTTGATATTCCTACATGTTCCAGTGTGCTACAACTTCGGCTTTTACTAACGAGAAATTCTGCGCTCTCGCTCGAGAGCAAATATCAATAGTTCTATCGGACTAAGAACTGTGCTTCTATCCCGAAAATAAAATTCAAATAGTGTTGTCGTTGCCACTTACCGTCATCGAACATTTCCATGCAGAACTCCCCTAAGCTAACATCTGTTGTGTGACCCGAAGACTCTCCGTAGGAATTATTCAAGCGCGTTGATCATGCTGTCTGCTACATAACAATTTCAGAATAATCTGCAGATCTCTATGATTATTTACCTGCTTCGATCGTAAAATATCTGCATATTTTTTTCAAGCATTCTATTACTACTAGAAATCTACATCTCTCTAGATCGAGTGTTGCCGGCGTTTAATTGCGTGACTTGTAAAATTTTAAAATAAGAACGAGCCAGCAGTAATTTTACGAGTAGGCTTCCTGCAAATTTCCCTTGATGAAATCCCAAGACATAGCCAGTTGTTTTTGTGAGCAAAGACAATAAATATGAAAGAAAAGTGAGATGCAAATGTGTGATAATGCAAGCAAGAGAATGAAAATCCAAATGAAGAAAAAGGGGAAAACATAGGAACCCGTGTTGCAGCGTGCAGATATCTTTTGAGCCAGACCTACACACCTAAGCCCGACACCACCCAGAGAAACTCAAAAGAGTGCTGTATATGAACTAGCTCGCACGTGCACGCAGGAAAGGCCATGACAATCAGGGAAAATAATAGAAAATGCAAATGATATTTGAAGTCAAAAAACAGGAAAATAAGATAACAGAAGGATTAAGAACTTTCTAGAAGTGTCTTCTTGAAAAAAAAAGATGAACAATTTTTACTTCTCATGAAAGGTCACGCAGTAACCCTACAAATACTACAACTACAATACTATACGTGGAATTTCTTGATGATGGAAAGTGGAGAAAAACATTTTCCAGTCTTATTTTCTGGAAAAATGACGTAGTTAATGAATTTATGGGGCTACTGGTACTGGCTCCCACCAAATAAGGGGGGCAGAGTTTCCCGTCATTCGCGGTATGGAAAAGCCGAAGTTGTTACACTCGGGAACTTGTACGTCAACAAGGAGGCGACATGTGACTTTAAAATCTCCTCTCCTGTTACAGTTTCCTTATTGTAAACTGTGCGATAATAATAATAGACGATCAAAGTATAGGCTAATGAATGTTTTGTTCTGTACAAGAGCCCTATATCCTGATTTTAACAAATCTTCAAAGTAATAAACGACTGAAGAAAGAAACGTTACGATTTTCCCATTGATTTTTCGTCTACATGCATCTCTCTAAACGTGAAATTTTCCATTCCTACAAAAAATCCCGAAAGTTTTCCCATTTTTTACCTTTCTTGATCAATCATCTTGTATAAAGAGCTAAAAAATGTAGGTTTATTTTGTCAAGTGACCGCCCAGAGCAAGAATTGCGTGATAGGTGTAGTTGAGAGAAACTTGTCACAGTCGCAGATTTTAAAAGATATCCAAGACAATACGGTAGTGACCAAAGATTTTTTCGATGATTTTCAGAGATGAAATGATGGGTTATAAAGGGTAATTAACAGTTCGGGCCATAACCATTTCTGGATATCGGTTTCGAGCTTTGTGATTGGGTGAGATCAAAACCAAAACAAAGCAAATTTGGCCGAGAGGTGCTGGAAACAAGAAGAAGCTGATTTTTTTTTTTTTTTTTTTTTGGCGGCGGCCATGTTGTAATGCGGTAGTAAGCTGAAACAAAATTCGCTAATAAGGACTGGACGTAAGATACCATTAAAAATATTCGTTTATTTCAAACATTCAACATGCATGTCCTCGACCTTCTCGCATTCTGGAAGAGTAAAGCGGATTATTTCTAGCACAAATTACAATTAAATTACCTTACACCAAGAGCGTCACAGGAGTAAAAGCTCTTCCGCCAGCCTGTTTGTATCTGGAGAACTTCTGGGTAGAGCTTGGCCTCGATGTTACTGTCCGTTCTCCGTTGATTTCCCTATTTTGGGTTACAAGAAAACCAATTAAATAAGGTTGAACCAATTAACGCGCACTGATAACAATTGGGACGAGAGAGGTGTGAGATCGCGGAATCGGGACAATTTCATTTCTCTCCAGTATAGGTCGAGGAAAGACAATATCTTGCTTCTCTCCGATTTTTAAATAGACATTATCAATTTCAGTCCATCAAGCCTTTACGAAAAAGTAACAGAAAAGCAAGAAAACAGTAACTTACCCTTCAATTCCTGGTTATTTTGCCACATCGAAGCAAAGCATGCAGCTGTATGTTTAGAAAGTGCTGAACCGTGCCGATCTGCTGCCCTTTGACATCTCCTAAAGTGCATGTCTTTCTCTGCGATTTGCTGAAAATCTGGACTTCTCGTAGAGCCTCTGGAATGCGTTCCGTTTCTCGTGGAAGAAGACAAGCCAGTGCATGCGAGTCAGACGTGTTGTCGTCTTCACTTTGAATAACAAGCGGTGTTCCACGTGGAGCTTTGATCTTGAAATTATGATACCTGGAAAATAAACGCCAATAAATACATGAGAGGGATAAAATAAAATCAAGAAGTCATAATCTATATTAAGACGAATACACATGATCGAATTCAATGCAAGAGAATCATACAAGGTACTTTGCGCGCTATTGATCGATTCGCGGGAGAATTTAGGTCTCAGAACGAGTTTCACAATTTCAGACAAGTCCCTTGTGGTTTTAGACGAAAATTTCACTCTCATCAGTTCGTGTAGCTAAACTCCAACCTTTGTTTCCGGAATGCTGTAATAGAGACACTTCGGCAAGGCTTGGTAAAGTTTCCGCACAGCCCCATACTATTGTAAAACAAATCTGTTTTCCCAACGGAAATGTATTGTTTTTGTCATTGTTTTCTCTGTTCAAGAACTGAATGCATAATGTAGGATGGGGCTGTGCGGAAATTTTACCCAAGGCTTTCCACCAATGTGATTTCTTTATTTTCATCTTCATGCCGCTCTTATCGCACATTTCCCGGATACGATACCTGAAGATGTGAGAGCTCAGTGAACGAATACCTCTTTGTTTTATGTTTGCCCGAAGGAGAACTTACTCGCTGAATAATCACATTTATGTGTTAGATCCGTGGTTTCCTGAAATTATTTTTTAGTGTGCATTCGCCTTGGCAGAATGAATCTCTCTGATGTCAAGATCGACATTGATTCGAAATTTCATCCAGAGCTCGGATTTAAAAGATTCTTTGTTTGTAGCACTGACCCAGGTCCGTGGCAGATTTGTGCCACAAAGACGACAAAGTGTCTCGAGATACTGAATGTGTTCATCCATGCTGTTGGCTTGATCTGTAATTCACAATGTAGGCTTATAAAGGTCCGATAAATAATTGTCCTTTTACTTTAAATTGGCCTGTCACAACGTATGGTTAAAATTTATGGTTTACGCGATACTCCTATGGATCTGAACAAAGGAATCCGTCTGGTAGTTTGCACACTAACAGACTTTCAACATTCGTGCACTCGAGCAGAAACCTCGTGCACTCGATTGGAATTTTGACAAATTGGAAGGAAATTTATTCTAGTTTTTTAAAAGATTTTTTTTAGGAATCAAAAAAAATGTTGCATACCTGAAAACCTCAACTAAATAGAGGTTATTCCTCGATCGAGCCCTTCGCAACATGGACCTCCACCCGACTTTTCATCTGAATTTTTCCTTCTCGTCATCGCGACCACCATCAGTTCTTTCCTTGTTGTGTGTAATTGCTTGTCTTCTGTAATTTTGCAAGGTTTCATGGGATATGGGTAGGGAACTAAGTTGCTAGGGCTCGAATAAAGTAATGAGTGAGTTTCCTCGATGTCCCACTACGACATCCATGTTGGTGACGTCATCAAGTATCCAGAAATGGTTATGCCCCGGAATGATTAAGATTAGTGTCGTAGCTTTCTGGCAACGGGAGATATTTGACCTCAAAGTTGTCAAATACTTGGATGAATCGAATCTAAAACACAGTTGTATATTTGCCTCTGTTGATTGACAAGCCGTAGATCAAAGTGACTGATACTCGCGCCGCCTATTAACTGAAGATGTAAAAATATGTGTGCAAACCCTCAGAGTAATCGGTTAAATACCATCGCAGTGAGAGCTTCATACACTTTATTTAGTTGAAGCGATTTCCTTGGTGAAAACGAAGAAAAACCGGGGGGTTGGTCTATCTCCCTCCGGAAAAACTAAAACAGAAACCAGTCTTTTTTTTTTAGTTTTGGGTAGACCCTTTAAATTGGCAAAGTTTCACTGAAATCGGTGGGATGGCACGTAGCACGACTGCTGGTGTTCTCGTGGACACGCTCTTAAGTCACTATCTGGCTGTTTTAAAAAGAAGCATCAGGACTTAACTAACTCTTAGTGTTTTTGTGGGAGTTGTTGATCCCAATTTAAATGTTCTTGGAAGTTTTAGTTGTCTTTAAAGCTAAATAAATCTAACTGAAACCTAATAGGGCCTGTTTATTCTTTTCCGTCTAGTTTCTTTGTTTTGTCTTTTTTTCTTCTGGTCTGTAATGATTTCAATGGTTTCAGGTTCTTTTCTCAGAATTGAGCTACATTAATAGTATGCTTCTTTGTGTTGTTGCCTACAGGAGCCACTGCTTGTGTTGAATTGAAGAGATTTGAAGAAGCAATCACTTGGTGTGATAAGGGACTAGCTGTATCCTTTGAAGGAATATTTCATTTTTAACCGTGGGTATAATGGAAATAGTTTCCATAATTTGGTGTTTCAAGGGAGAAAACACAAAGAAGGGTATTAATTATGATGGGAACTTGTCAGCTCACATACTTTAAGTGTGTGTTATTAAGAAACGTAGGAAAAGTTATTACCTCATGACTTATTAAAGGTATTACTCCTTTTAGCCAATTTGACTTAGTCATACTATCCATGCCAATAACTGGTACATTAGTGATGGTACTTGGGTAGATGATCTCTCTAAAACAAGCCAGAACAAAAAGCTCGGTAATGTTTAGATATCTTATGCAGATTTTCTTCCCTTCGACCTTTTTCTACTACTTAGAGACTCGGAAACTTTCGTCCTGCTTTCCTATGGACAAATAAAAATTTTAAAGACAAGTATTGGTGTTGTAGCCTCATTTCTTCCACTGCTGTTAACATTCGTCTGATGTTAAAGCTATATTAATTTAAAAATTGAGCAAGTGCTACTCAGTTTTTGGAAACTATGGATTAAATTTAGATATTTCGCGTTAAATTTTGAGGCTGCACACTGAAAAAAGATTTTTTGAAATGTAAATTTACTTCATAACTGACTTTAAGACTGAATGCTGATAAAACATCTATCTTTCATGCAAGCCCTCCTAATGGGCCATTTTATAGTTGTGTACTTAGTTGCCAAGCCTTTGATTTGGAGTAAAGCTGAAGATGACCTTGTTGTGGTAGAGACCAGTATCTAGAAACGATAATAACAAAGTAGTTTGCTTTAAATAGCAGCAATGTTTTTATCATAACAAGGTCACCCTTAGCCATACTCCTGTTCAAAGGCTTGAGAACCAAGCACGCAAATGTTAAAATGGACTATCGTAAATTAATATGATCAGAAAAATAATATTTCTTTGTTTTTTTCCACATTTTAACCCTTAACATAAAAAAGATTGACAAAAACAATAGGATTTTGTTGTCATTAAGACTTCAGTCTCTCAGTGAAGTGGGAGATAAGTCCATGGAGGAAAAAGATCCTATTAGTCATGACCACGGTAGTGCAAGTTCAGGTAATGTCAAGAAAGTCATAGATCTCTGTGATCGGGGAGAAGAAGCCATAGAGTACCTCAACCTATATCTTAAAAAAGCTAAAGAAGTAGGAGACAAGCATGGGGAGGGTAACGCTTATGGCAATCTTGGCAATGCTTATCACCGTCTGGGTGATTTCAAAAAAGCCATAGAGTACCACAACCTAGATCTTAAAATAGCTAAAGAAGTAGGAGACAAGCATGGGGAGGGTGGTGCTTATGGCAATCTCGGCAATGCTTATTTTAGTTTGGGTGATTTCAAAAAAGCCATAGAGTACCACAACCTACATCTTAAAATAACTAAAGCCGTAGGAGACAAGAAAGGGGAGGGTGTTGCTTATGGCAATCTTGGCAATGCTTATGACAGTCTGGGTGATTTCAAAAAAGCCATAGAGTACCACAACCTACATCTTAAAATAGCTAAAGAAGTAGGAGACAAGCATGGGGAGGGTGGTACTTATGGCAATCTTGGCAATGCTTATATTAGTCTGGGTGATTTCAAAAAAGCCATAGAGTACCACAACCTAGATCTTAAAATAGCTAAAGAAGTAGGAGACAAGCATGGGGAGGGTGTTGCTTATGGCAATCTTGGCAATGCTTATCACCGTCTGGGTGATTTAAAAAAAGCCATAAAGTACCACAACTTACATCTTAAAATAGCTAGAGAAGTAGGACACAAGCATGGGGAGGGTGGTGCTTATGGCAATCTTGGAAAGGCTTATGGCCGTCTGGGTGATTTCAAAAAAGCCATAGAGTACGACGACCTACATCTTAAAATAGCTAAAGAAGTAGGAGACAAGCATGGGGAGGGTAACGCTTATGGCAATCTTGGCAATGCTTATTTTAGTCTGGGTGATTTCAAAAAAGCCATAGAGTACCACAACCTACATCTTAAAATAGCTAAAGAAGTAGGAGACAAGCATGGGGAGGGTAACGCTTATGGCAATCTTGGCAATGCTTATCACCGTCTGGGTGATTTCAAAAAAGCCATAGAGTACCACAACCTACATCTTAAAATAGCTAAAGAAGTAGGAGACAAGCATGGGGAGGGTGGTGCTTATGGCAATCTCGGCAATGCTTATTTTAGTTTGGGTGATTTCAAAAAAGCCATAGAGTACCACAACCTACATCTTAAAATAGCTAAAGAAGTAGGAGACAAGCATGGGGAGGGTTACGGTTATGGCAATCTTGGCAATGCTTATATTAGTCTGGGTGATTTCAAAAAAGCCATAGAGTACCACAACCTAGATCTTAAAATAGCTAAAGAAGTAGGAGACAAGCATGGGGAGGGTGTTGCTTATGGCAATCTTGGCAATGCTTATCACCGTCTGGGTGATTTCAAAAAAGCCATAGAGTACCACAACCTAGATCTTAAAATAGCTAAAGAAGTAGGAGACAAGCATGGGGAGGGTAACGCTTATGGCAATCTTGGCAATGATTATCACCATCTGGGTGATTTCAAAAAAGCCATAGAGTACCACAACCTACATCTTAAAATAACTAAAGCCGTAGGAGACAAGAAAGGGGAGGGTGTTGCTTATGGCAATCTTGGCAATGCTTATGACAGTCTGGGTGATTTCAAAAAAGCCATAGAGTACCACAACCTACATCTTAAAATAGCTAAAGAAGTAGGAGACAAGCATGGGGAGGGTAACGCTTATGGCAATCTTGGCAATGCTTATTTTAGTCTGAGTGAGTTCAAAAAAGCCATAGAGTACCACAACCTAGATCTTAAAATAGCTAAAGAAGTAGGAGACAAGCATGGGGAGGGTGGTACTTATGGCAATCTTGGCAATGCTTATCAGAGTCTGGGTGATTTCAAAAAAGCCATAGAGTACCACAAACGCTTTCCAAACTATTTTGTGTTTTCCAAAATAGCCTATTTTTTGATAAATCAATAGTTTTCCTCTGCACGTTGAGGAAAACTAGCAAAATTAATCAAATTTCGCGGATAAAATCTTAGAAAGATTAAAAAATCTTATTTTCTCCTGCAAGATTGAGCATGTCTGTAAAAAACAATGTGTTAAGAGTCAACCATGGAAAGATGCAGAGGTAATCTGCAACCACTCAGGAAATGGATATTATAGGAATTCTGCAACCACTCAGTCACTAGATGTCACAGAAATTCTGCGACCACTCAGCCACTAGATGTCGCAGAAATTCTGCAACCACTCAGTCACTAGATGTCACAGAAATTCTGCATTCACTCAGTACCATGTTGTCGCAGAAATTCTGCGATCACCCAGTCACAAGCTGTCGCAGAAATTCTGCGACCCCTCAAGCACTGGATGTCGCAGAAATTCTGCGATCACCCAGTCACAAGCTGTCGCAGAAATTCTGCAACCACTCAAGCACTGGATGTCGCAGAAATTCTGCGATCACCTAGTCACAAGCTGTCGCAGAAATTCTGCGACCACTCAAGCACTGGATGTTGCAGAAATTCTGCGATCACTCAGTCTCAAGTTGTCGCAGAAATTCTGCGACCCCTCACTCAAAACTTGTTGCAGAAATTATGCAACCACTTAACCACTGGGTGTCGCAGAAATTCTGCGATGACTCAGTCACAAGCTGTCGCAGAAATTCTGCAACCACTCAACCACTGGATGTCACAGAAATTCTGCAATCACATTTACACAATCACAATACAGCCATTTAGCAATCTTACTAAAACCAGTCAATAAAAAATTCCACAACATTTGGTCAGTGATCCTCAATCACTCTATGATTTACAATAATTAAACTATCAAATGGCACATCTTCATAAATGTGGTAGTTATACTCATCTGTTAAGGAAGTAAGAAATAAAATAAACAGTTCAAGTCACGTCCCTTTATTGCACGATCAGATAAATGAAATGAAAAAATATAATAAATCCAATGACATAAAATTTTGAGATCTATCACACAAACAATTTGATTCCACTTTAAAAGAGGAAAATATAAACTGTTATACTGCCATTCCTTTGAACTATCTCAAAAACATATGTAAAAATTACAACTAATAAAAAATTTCTTATTTTTATCTTGCATTTACCCTACCCTGTAATGAAAGCCCTTGAGGCCTTATGGATGGAGAGTTAAGTTACAATAAATCCATGCTACATTTCAGTAGTTTCAATACACGGTGGCTTAGAAAATTCGACATCGAGGGAAAAAAATTTTGGTTTCTTATATATCTATATATATGTCCTACCTACGGCCTCGAGATGAGAGACTCGGGTTGAAATCGATTGCTAAATAAACATCCATAAATAAATATATTTTCCTCACAGAGTGGCAACTGGATACGACTCGATCGATAAAAGACTTCATCGATGTAGGTGGATTCATTTACCACATCTTGCTGAACAGTGTCAAAGCAAAAAGAATACCTAGCTTTGAACTTAACTCGACTCTGTAACTTATAGAGAATTAATTGTAAACTCCACATAGGCAGAGGCCACTGAGCAACACACAAGTCATTAAGCCGCAATTCCAGTACATGCGTGTTCTAAAGCAACGTTACTACGCATGTGTCACGACACTCTATGTAATTTTACACAAAGAGCTAAGCCCAATTTCAGAAAGGAATGGCGTAAAGGAAAAAACTCAAGATTGAATTGTCCTCAAAGCGACATATCTTTCCTTGAGAAATTTTCTTGTTGATGGCATTAGCTTGTTGTCTTCCGTAAGCTCAAATGAACTGCACACTATACAGCTCTTAGGAAGGATCTCCACCCATGGTCTGGATTTTTGTCGGGGAACATGCTGAGGAGTCCACTTTCCACAGTAAGTGCCTTTCCAGTAATGCACCTTAAAATTGTCCTCCTCGACGGCCAGGACCTTGCCAATGCAGGGCAGTTTATCGTAATTGGCGAAGTACAAAGCCACAAAGCAGCTGACTTGAAGAGTAGCGAGGAAATCGTCTACCATTTCAATAGGCGCTTCCCTTTCCCTCGGGGTCCTGTAACGGCCTGTGTAAATCTGAAATATTCAACAGACATTTCATTAGAATTTACTTGTTTAGGTGAGCATTTCGACTGAGATGTATCAATTATCAATTGTTCTTATCATTTTATTCTTTGATTAATTATAAGTAATGGATTATGTGACCGTGTCATATTCTATTAGTGCAATTTGGTGTGAATAAGCACAAATAAGTTTCCAAAGACAACAAAATTTTTGCACGAGCCTGAAGGGCAAGTGCAATTTCGTGGTATTTGAAAAATTACAAGTGCTTAGTAGACCAAATTGCAAGAACAATGTGCAGACAAAATTTTGAAAGTGTGTTTGCCCTATTTGTAATTTGGACTCATGTTGCAACTTTGCATTTGTGCTACATGAGAATTGGCTTGTTTTCAGCAAATCAGAAGCATGTAATTTTATCATGTACATTATTATATATCTAAAGTTGGACTTGTATAATCTATAACTGGACGCAGAAGGGGTTAGAGGAATGGACCCCTCTAATTATTTCTCTTTTATATCTGTAGGACCATTTGAAGGCTTGGCTTTTTAGTGTCCACTGCTGCATTTTAATTATTATTCACCTCTGTGATAGGCTGGATCTCTTTCTCTCTGAGCTCTAAAAGTTCATGAGGGAGTTCAGCATTTGAGGCTAAAACAGTCCTTGAAGTATTCTTCAATTTATCCACTGGCCAAGTGTAGTTGTCAGGTACTGATAATAGATTAAACTCTGTATTTGCTAACCAGGATTCCCACTCTTCAGATGCTTTTAAGGGCATATTCTTGGGATATTTGGTGGGAATATCTCTCTTCAATCCCTCCATGTCCAGTTTATGTAGGGAAGGAGTCACAGTATTTGGCTTTCCAGAGGGTAAACTCTAGTATAGCAAAAAAAAGGCAACAATGAATTTGATATATTAAACCTCACAAGGCAGCCAGGTGAACAATCAAACATGGTTTGATTTTATTCTGGTTTAAATATTAAATAATTGTAACTTATCTGTTAAATTCAACAAAATTAATCTTTAAACCAGAGTAGCATCAAACCATGTCTAGCAATGTATTTGTTTAGTGTATTTGTTGGCTCAAATTTCCTTGAGAGACAATAATAAGGGCTTTCTCTTTCCATTTAATTCTTCTTTGACTTGTACACATTATGATCCCAATCTTAAAGACAGGGAAAAGCAGTGAGATACATTTTAAATTGAGGATCAATTTAAACCCAGCATATTCTTAACATGTAATGTCAGCAAACATTCAGTTATTTGGAGCATTAATGTTATTTTTCAGGCCTACAAATTGTCAGTGCCAATGCTACTTTAGAAAACATCAGGTAAGCTTTTAAGTTACTATTTTAACTATGACTCAGGAACCACTAATTAAGAATTTCATGTGCTAACCTTCAGCATTGCAATGGGCTCTTTCCATGGCTCATGGCTCCAATTTCTGTAGTGCATAACTGCTTTTCCATCCTCATTCAATGTAAATTTAAAGCACTTTGGAACTGTGTGTTCATGTAACTCCTCACAATAATCACTAATCCATGATTTTATGTCATAAACCATCTTGAGCATATAGGGCTTGGGTGTTGGATTCTTCATGCATGTTTCCAGTGCCTTCAGTAATTCTAAGTGACAGTGAAGTGTAAAATAAATTAAGATCTTACATGTACTCTGTAAATAAGCATTTACACCAAATTTATAACATGTCAATGTCACATTTAATCTGTTAATTCAAGTGGAAGTGTTCATACTTTCTATAGACTAAATTTTGAACCATGCTCTTGCCTCGTGCAGAAATTTGTTTGATCACAGTGCTAGTTGCTATGTATTTATATTGATAGATAACTTATGTGAATATTTGCCACACAAGATTATCACACTGCACAGGCAGTTTTGATTGTTGAACCTCTCAGTTACTCCAACTGTACCTTGAAGTAATTACTTTATGTTAGAACAACTTACCTGTGACTGTGTAAACATCCAGTTTGTCTAAGTGCTTTGAATAAACCCCAAAAAAGGCATCTATGTCCTCATGGGTATGTCCCACTGGGAGAAAGTTAACTCTTATCTGAAATACAAGAAGGGAAAGTGGTGTTGTTTTTTTTTTAATTTCAACTTCAGGTTACATTCATTCAGTAGTTGCAAAAATTGAGATTGAATGGAAACTAACTTCCCACCCAAATGGACCTTGAAAACATTGCAATGGGACATTTTGACGCTTGAACAAAGTGCTTTGTGGGAAATGTGAATAAGGCAAATGCATTTCTTTTAAAATTACCCAAGATAACATACTTTTTCAAAAATTTTCTCTTCAACCAGAAGTGCCAATAGAGCAAACATGTAGCGGTTCTTGTTTTCTCTAACACAGTTGTCAAACTGCAGATAGAGAATGGGTGGTAGGTCAAATTCCTCCGCCCATCTTACAAGGACTTCCAACAGAACTGTCATAGTGAGATTAGAGTCATGAGGATACTGGTAGTAGTCAAATGACCCATAAATCTCCTTTCCATTTTGTGCTTGTCCATTGTGAATAATGGAACCAACAAGGTGTGTTCCCACAGTCGTAAGTGCAGACATTGCCTTGGTAATTCGGCGCACACTTGGGACATTTGTGGTGTGTTGGTCCATACCATCAGCAATATTTGCCACATACTTTGATGGGTACCTCCTGGCTTTATACCTGTGAAGATAGTACACCCTCCTTTCCTGCCTAGTGATATAAGGAAAAATTATTATTAGTTCTTAAGACCAGAAGACTAGTGAATTGCTTTTGATGTGACAGATTTTTGTTCATCAAACTAACTGTACTTTTTTTTAAACATTTCTCTCACCAGACTAAATCAAGATGAAGCTTCAGCAAGTGATCAATTTCAGCCCTTCTGGCTTTGTCCACAGTTTTCTCTTTCTCCTGCTTGTATTTTGTGCAGTCTGTGCATTTTGTAAAGCGATTTTCCTAGAAGATTCAAATTGATAGATCATTTCTGCATGTATGAGGTATAACATGAAAAAAAAAACTAGGCATGGTTCATCTCAGCAGTTTACAGACCAAACAAAGCCACAAAATAAAACTTTTTTCTCATGATTGTTGGATAAGAGGTGGTCATGACCTACTGGGCCCCCTATTTTGCTATCTAGGTTTCCATATTTAACACATTTTCATGTTCTCTTTGGGTGCCATTGTCAAATTGTATGTATTGAACAGCAATGATATTATTACATAAATGGTTTGTAAAATACACACACCTGTAAGTGTTAGTCATCATCATACTGAAAACTATTGCATATTTGGTGCCACTTACCTTGGGAATGGTGACATGAAGAAAATTCCTTTCCCATAGGCCATAAAAATGAGAAAGGGATACTGTTGGCTGACTGAGTGCTTTATTTTCCTCCAGCATTTTTTTTGTAAATGTCACTTTTAGTAAAGCATGTTGGTAAATGGATGCCACCATTGTCTGGTTGGTGGTCCCCTACACAGCTAACAAAAAACTGCAACCAGGCAATGCAATCTGCAGTCTTGCTAGTGATTGACTTCCTTCCTTTATTCCCATGCTCCAGCACATTTGCACCATCATTAAATTTTCCCCAAATTCGTCTAAAGGTTTCCTTATTTAAATTGTGTGCAAGAAGCCATGCTTCCCTACACACAATCTTTCCTTTTACATAAAATTCAGTTTGTAGTTCATTGGAATCATCAGAGCTACTGTGTTGATGCAGGTACTCTAAAAAAATAGTTTCGCTTTCCTGCCTTTTTTTTTTTGCTTCAGCATATCTTATGTCTTCTACAGACAGTTGCCTCATGCACTTTTTTTTTTGCGCAACAGTTAATGGAAATGATCCACAAAATTTCCTCGTCTCGTCTAGCAGATAAATCTAAATTTGAGAAAAAATTATGGGACCATATTAAATGGAAATTAAAACTTGTTCAAGTCTTCGTTGAAAGTATAATCACTTAAGACGAAGGTAACCTTGAATTTTGATCAATAACATTGATTAACTTGCCCTTTGCGCAGTAAACGAACAAAAGCGTAATAAAACAAGCCAATTTATTGTATTACATTGTATTATTACATATGTTTGATAATCTAAATTACGACAAAGATAGACCCAACCGATATCCCTCGTATTCTACGGTGAGAGAAATGCAGCATGTCAAGGCTTTAGAGCTGTTAATAATGTATTATTGTTCTTTTTTTTTTTTTTGGTAATCATAATCTATTTTGCCTAAACCAAGTATCGAATGGAGATGATGTTCCCTCATTATTAAAGTCAAGGTATGGGAATGATTTCATCTCAACAATATCTGGTCTGCATTTCCTTGTCTGATCCTCTACTTTTACGAAAGGATTGCGAAGTGCATGAACAAGGCCCTTTGTATTGATCCTAATTTGTGCACCCAGCCGGATTGGTTTATATTGGTATTCTTCCATGCAAGACACAAGATCAGTATATTTTAAGATTTTTATGTTCCAAGTAGACGCAATTTTAAAAACGGAAGACGATCCTCTTATTGCTGGTACTTTAGTAGTTGCAATTCCAAGCATCAGAGAGCTTCGTTTTTCATTGGAGATTTTTAGCTTATTGCGAAATGACTTTTTCCCAGTTTCCTCTCGATCAGTTATGATAAAATCCACGTGTTTGTTAAGAAATGACTTCACAGTGGCTGCTGCTATGTTCGTAAGCCACTGAATGATGTACGACTTATTTTCTGATTTTGATAGGTGAAGGAAAACATTTTTCCCTTTGACACTTGAAATGAGCCAATGATGATCTGAAAGTACAATGAATGTGACGAAAAGTTAAAGCTTCTAGGGCCAAATTTGCTTTTGCACGCTTGAGCAACTTGTAGAGGCCGTTGACTGCCTGCTTATCTGTTTCACTTTAATGCAATTGTGTGTTCGATGTTACTTTTTACGCTGTGTCTTAATGTCCGGCAGTCGGAAATTTTCATACAATTGCTACTGAAAGGTCCTTTCAAACTTCGTTAGAGTACCAGATGTTTGTTCAGAAATGTCAAGCGACTCCAAAAATTATTTTGATTCTCAAGGGAACGAATTTTCCGAGCTTGTACATACCTTAAAATCACTAGATTATCGACACTTTGCAGAACTCTGACCTTAAGATTTCATGGTATACAGAAACTTGGAAAATAAATCTACTAGAAGACCAAAATGACTGTCTTTGGAATTTCTTACCATTGATGTCAGCGGAAAAAAAAATTGGCTTCTTATTTACCTGGAGGTGCACAATCTGGTTCACATTTTTCTGTTTCTAGAACTTTCAAAGAGGAATCCGCATCGTGGAGAGAATCGCAGGAAAAATCTGTGTCAGATAAGAAAACCGACATTAGATTTACGAAGTTGTAGCAAAAACAGAATAAAGGGCTACAGAAGTCCAACTCGTCGGCATGCTTTGAAGAATGAGGCAGAACACAAAAGGATGTGTTGTGATTCATCGAGAGGTAAATGAGTGGCCTTGTATTCTGTAGTTTTGCTGTATTTTCTCGATTAGTGGACCCTTATGCACGGGTTAAAGTCAACTTGAAAGTATGTAGTGTGGCTTTGTGATGCGGTCGGTTGTCTGTACAGTTAGAAAAAATTGTGATTTCAGTGATTCGATTACGCGGTGATCTGTGTTGTGGCCGGATAATTTTTTCAAAGGTGTTGCTTTTCTCAGAGATCAAAAACGCCCCTCTTTCGAGCTTCACTATAAAATTTGAAGCTCAAAATTTCCTCACCCTGCGGCGTTTCGTCATGCCCCAATGAAGTATCGGCATCGTGAAGAGAAATACTCGTAGCATCTGTGATAAGACAATAAGTCGGCGTCGTATGGTCAACGTTGACACTCATGCATATAATTTTTTCCGAATATGAGGTTATTTTACAATTAACAGTTAAACTGGATCTAGGTTTACGTTTTTCTTGAAATAAATGGATTTACCGTTGAAAGTATATCACACAGACTTTGGTTATATAGCCTGCGAACCAGTATTTTCTTCTCCGCGCAAGAGAAGCAGGAGAAACAGTAAGACTCACAATACGCGCGTTCAGCTAGATTCTGCGACACCAATCCGTGATCAGTTAGGGGCTTTAAATTACATTGCGCATTTATGATCTGTCCTCAAACCAATCTTAAATTAAAATTAAATTTGTGGTGTTAATGAAAAATTCTTGAGACTGGATTGACTGCGTATTTAGTATTTACATCTTCTTGAGCTCAAAAGAGCCAAGTTCATTACCTGTAGTTTTGGAGGCACTGACATCTAAATCAAGCCACGCTGTTTCGCTTTCTTGTAAAGTTTCCATTTCTAATTGACTCTCGTTAACCGGGATTATTTCCTCATGAACAAGGGGGCTTGCACTCAAAAGTTCGCTTGAATTATCCAAGTCAACCCACTCAGGTTCATTGGGAAGTCTTCTCTTTTGTGGTGATCCCAAACTACTTAAATCGGTGTCTGAATCATACAAATCAATGAGGCTTGCAGAACTAGACGATCTTTTTTCTGGTGTACTCGCTAAAAGCGGTTGGAACATTTTTGTGCTAGGTGTACCAGATAACTCCACGCAGGGTCCGACAAGAGCACTAGAGGTATACCTTTGATATGGACGAAACAGACAAAAGCCCAATTCTACGATTACATTAGATCTTGATTAGACGGATGTATGCGGTTTTTAAAATAATGGGTAGATATTACTTTTGTCTTGCCTCGGTTGAATTACACAGAGGACAGCTTGCGAATTATAGTGGAGATAAAGCCAGATCATGCTCTCAGAAATGGTAAAAACATTATCGGCTCCTATATTTTCCTGTGTTGAGCGCATTTGCATGGGACATTAAATACTTTTACCGCGGGAGGCTGCATTAACTGAGAGTATTCGACACTAACCGAGCCTGGTGCTTACCGTGGTAAAGATTTCCTCTGGTAAATATCCGTGGATATTTCAGAGAGATCAAAGGAAGCGAGGCGGTTTTTCTTGCTTTATTTTGCATCGTAGAACAATAGCCAAACTGTTTAAAATCAATACTAACACGCTAATGGCTTTCGTTCGCAAGTTTCGTTCACCCGATTTCTCGCCTCTAAATTTTGCTTTTAAAACCAGAAAAGGCATGGCGCTGTCGAGCACGGTATACGTATACTTCACCAGTAGACCTAACTTTGATTCACTGCGGGATGATCTACTGAAAATGTCGTTTACTGTTGTGTGTTTAGCCGCACCGGTAATTGTCAGATGAAGAAAGGAAATGAAACACTTTTTCTTTCTTGAGAATAAAGGTAAAGAAAGGCCGGCACGGACTCACCATGAGGCTTTCTTGGTCGCGTCGTATTATCGCCTTCAAATTATACTTTTGCTTTCACAAGCATATCTTTTGAGGGATTTTCCCTATTTGTAAGAGATGATCAGAGGTTTTGTAAAAATTGTTTTCAGCAAGGGCTGATTGTGTATCAGACTCCAATGTTTCATCAATATTATGATTTAATTTTTTGACCGTCTGGTGGCACGTTGTGACAAAAGGCAACAATCGTTCGTGACCTTTTGGCTTTTGTGTACGTGAAAGGGCCGATTGTTGACCCCCGAAAGAGTCCTTCCTATGATGTTTTCTGGGTACCCTCATGCTTTGAAACGTTGTTTGAATTTCAAAAGGACCTCTTCAAATGTTTTTTCGAAGAGTTAGTCCGAAGCAATCTTATTCCTTCGACTTAGTGAGAACATATTTTTCGCCTAATGGGTGGCACGAATTGGGAGGTCTCGAACGGTTTGTCATGGGTTTTGATGTCAAAGATGGAATCTTCAGCGAATTTTTCCCCTTTAAACACTGTGGTATCCACTTTTTATAGTGGATAAATTTCAAATCGCTACTTCAAATCTCTGACTGGCATACCGTGCACATAAGTTGATCAAGTATTAACCGAACATGGAGCCATTTTCAAAACGCCCGCGGTTTTTGTTTGATTTAGACCTAGTTATGTATATATGCCCGATGATACCGCCAGAGATCGTTGGACTGTGGGCGAAAACAAAATTAACTGTTCCCACGATTGGAAGGAAACGACGATTTAATACCAAAATTTAAAAGGCATAGCGTGGACAAGGCCTCACAGTTATAACACAAAAACAACAGGAAGTGTCAAGGCAGCTTTTAAGTTGCGTCGACTGGTTCTCACAGGAAAATGTCACCTTTTTAATTTATTCTGAAGGTGTAAAAAGCTTTGACGGAAATGCAGTTCATCGCGACTCTTTTCATCACCGCTATTATTGTTCCCTCAGTAGTATAAAAAAAGGCAGTGATGATTCGCGATAAGAGGTCTTTAGGTCTTCAGGTCTTAAGGTCTTCAGGAGTGTATCCCAGAACTGATCAGCCTTGGTTGTAAACTAACCTTCTACTTAAGATGCCTCCAAAAGATAAGCGCAGTAATGAAGCGAAACTGTGGTACATTAAAGTGAATTCGGGAGCCGCGTATTTATACAGAGGAGGAAAAAAGAGTGGAAAATTTCTTAAACATAATCGGAGCCGAATCATACCAAGACTCATCAGGTTCTGTTGCTGAAGAATCTGGAGCATCACCTCCCAAGAAGAAACTCAAGGTGATTTAAAGTATACAGTATACATTTATTGCTGACATTGGACTCTAAATTCCCATTCAATCCAGGTTATGGCTAAATTACTGATGTATCAATTCACTGTAAGCCTAAAATCTATCATCAATTCTTCTTTCAGCTCGAATTCACTCCAATAAATTCACGGGGCGCGTATCGGTTTGGATCTGTGAACCCACGGTATTTTAATAGGTTTGCAAGTGACGACTCATTTAAGAAAATTGTGACCAAAACGGCCGACGAACTCGCTAACGGGATCAAAAAGAGTTTGGAGGAACTTGAAGTGGATCATGACCCTTCCCATGCAGAACAACGGCCGCATACAAACGTTGAGCTTTCTCAGTCTTTAACTCCTCTCTTCTGTGACGTTACTTCACAATCAAGCAAGCGATCGGGACACAATAGGGAGGAAGGAAGTTATAGGAAAAGTATACAGAAGAGGTGCAACGAATGTCAACTAGATAGTAAGTAAGATTTAATAATAACAGGCATGTTATCAAATGTTACCTGCTTTGGATCGAGAAAGAATAATAAGTGAAGCATTTGTATCAAGAATTTCTGGCTACCTGATAGACTGTAAACCATGCAATCCTGATTTTCATTGTAAGCTCAATAGAGTTAACTGATGAATGTGGTCAAAATAGGATGCATATAGCTTTTTTATGTGAGACTTACATGCGGTTGAAAAATCTGCAACCGCTTACCATTCACAAAAAGGCCTGTAAAATCAATATCATACCAGAGTAATACCATGCACATCATCAGATTAAAATAGGGTAAAGTCTTAAATTTTTCGCTCGAAGGTTTACATAGACAGGTATTTGTTCTTTGAGTTATTTTTCCTTTTTTTTTTTTTTTTTTTTTAAGTGTTGATGTTGCCATTTTTGTTGGATTATTGCTATCATTATCTTTATTAATATTATTATCATCATTATTTATTATTACTCTTATTATTGTTATCTTTGATACAACCACTATCATTATTATTATTATTATTATTATTATTATTATTATCATTAGTGGAAGTGGTAGCATCGTTGTAACATAATGATCAATAGTATTATCATTGTCGTTCTTTTTTTATTTCCAGATAAGGCACATTTAATTTCCATCGACAATTTAATCCTCCCTCCAAAGAAAAGACAGATAAGAGAAGTAGACACCGCCTTCCTTGAGCAGTTGATTAAAAACATGAGTGAGCAACCCTCTGGGAATTATGAAGCGCTGTTTGTCTTGGCAAAAGGAATTACCAAGAAAGACCAGTTTGAGTTGGAAAAGATAAATGAATATAAATATGAAGTTCTCGGTGGAACTCATGTTGTCTTGGCTACGAAACATCTTCGTGAGAAATTTCCTCACGACGCCAACTACAGCGGAAGGGTGGCCAGGATATATGTTGGGCTCAATGATGAAGAAGCCTTGTGGTTAGGAGCCATGCACAATCAAACTGGGGCATTTCGTCACGAGCTTACGTACAGGAATGAGGTAAGGTCAAAATTTGTCTATTGTGAAATGTGCCAAATGTTGAAAACAATTCTTAGTTTGTTTTTTGAATTTTTAGATTTTTTTTTTCAAATTACTATAATTATTATCAATCATTATAAATATATAATTTGAATTTCTCGCTCTGACGAAGGGCTAACGCTTGATACATCAGCTTGGAACTCTTTACGGTGACCAATTTACGTTATCAACTCAGTTGATAATACCAATAGCCTTGTCATACTCTCCTTTCGACGTATCACCGTAGTTTCTTAAGAAATTAACCCCTTTAATTATAAGTTTAGTCTGTTCTGTTTATATCTTTGCTTTCAAAATTTTGTATGTGAATTCATGAGTACATTTAAAAAATCATTCCAGTTTCTTTGCCAGCTGTTTGGCAATCAGATGCTGCTTTTTTCCATGTTAATTTTCAGTTGAATTGGGAACTTTATGTAGTTTGGATTATTAACAAATGTGTCACTAAAAATGTTTTCCATTCCAATATTCAAGGTTGAGATTTGTCGCACCCAATTATTCCTGCCAGCGGAAGACTATTCAGGTGATCCACCAACCCCTCCTGAAGCGTGGAGAGAGAAGTGTTCGAGTCTGCTTAAAAAATCGGTAAGATTGTGAAAATATATACTTGTTACTTTCACAAGTAATCCACCGACTTGCAGGTGTTATTACTTGACACTTAAATTTCCTCTCAGTGAATGCACAGCAGGCAGCAAACTCTTAATAAAAGCATACGAGCGTGTTTCCTTGTATATGATCAGTAGCACAGTTCTGATGTACAAAAGCGTAACATTGGGGTAAAATTGAAAAATTTATTTAAGAACCAATTCTTATTAGAATTAAGTCAGAAAGTGAAGGAAATTGGTTCCTATCTTGAAATTATGTCATTTCGGTCGATTCGGACGCATTTCAAGCAAATTTTCTATTACCCATGATGCAATGCGGCCACGCCCTTTTTTTTAAAATTTTTTTTTAATGCATAAATACCGTGTTTCAAGGAAAATGTTTTTTTTCTCGCCACATCTGAATCCTAGAAACTCTAGAATCCTTAATCTTTGCATTTAATTTCACGGCCTTGTGCTTGCGAACAAAAACAGCACTTGACTGCATGCTTGAAACATGCGGTATGTACTTAGGAAGTTTCCCGCTCATTTCCTCACCTGATGTAATATTTTACTTCTTAATAAGGAAATATAAAACAGTCCTCATTGATTAGGTAGACTTTGGGATGATTTGGAAGTAAAGAAAACCGTCAAAATGACAAGAGCGTCGCGCTTGTTCTTGCTATAAATTCGATCGCGTATCTTCCTGAGGATCAAAATTGTAGACCTAATGTTTCGGATGAACTTAAATGCTAATATTTTCGTCGGCTTTTAACGGATTCGATCGAGTATGGTACCAAAATTTAGCTTGTCATTTGAGCATTTTGTTTATGCTCCAGTGCACTTGTCGCAAACAATACGATTAGGAAATTCATTGACTGGTACTATCGCGCGGCAGATCACAGCGCTTGCCAACTGTTTCGGACGCAGAAAAAAATTCATATCTCGACAACGTTTCAACAAAAACACAAAAAAGATTCAAGCAAATCCGTGATTTTTCAATTTGTACGTGACAAGCGTGCTACTGATCATATACAACTCAAACCCATCAAGCTAGTTCACCATGAGGGAAATCTACATGTACTTTTGAGATGCATCAAAGAATGTTGAGCGTGATGGTTAAGGAAAAGTGTTGTGTTAAGTCGCCAAGACAATTTCTCTAATGATTGTAGATATATGAAAATCACATACGTGCACTGCGGTGAAGAAACGAATATAAGAGATCCTCGCAGCTATGAACACTGCTGAACTAGTAGTTGAAATAAGGCCTGCCCGTACGGGATTTGAACCCATGACCTCTGCGAGATATTGCTATGACTGTTGATGCAAACTAATCTGACATTAATGTGTGTTGCCTTGTAGAAAAGAAATCTAAGTGAGATCTTTACCATGGCACAGCTGTCAGGAGAGGGCTGGACTCACTTTAGGAATTTAAACGATTTGCATGAAAATGCCCAATTAAAAGGACAGAAAGCTAAAGCCTCGGACATAGTTAAGAAAGGGAAACCTGTGCTCAGGCAGTGGCAGTTAAAACCCCTCTGCAAGTTGTCCGTAAAAGACCAAACGTTTCTTCTAAAAAAGTGAGATATGTGCGACATTGTCCTTTAAATCATTATCAAGTGTATCCTGTCTTCAAATTTGTATGAGATGATTTATTAATTCAATTGTTCAATTTTCTTATCGTCATGATCATCACGATCATCATCAGGAGTGTATCTACCTGGATTTTTCTTTTCTCTTTTGAGCCCTGTGGTTGAGGAGAGGTTTCATACTTTCAGAAAAATAGTGAACATTTGAAAGCTGATTATCTCCGCTTGTTTTTATTCATCGTTTTTAGGTGGCAACTTGCGAGTTAAGCTTGGAAGAAATGAAATTTGCTGCCTCCGAAGTAAAATCTCTAAGACCTGTCCAGGAGGCCATTGTTAAATTCTTCAAGGTCAGCACGTGGGAAGAGGCTATTGAAGAATTTAAAAGCGCCGTATCATCTGAAAAGTTGTTGCAGTTTGCTGTAAGTTGACATGTAATAGTACGTACCTCAGTGACTCAGTGACTTATTTGACTGACAATTTTTCTGTTTACTCTGTAATTAAATCATGTCATATTGCCCTTCTGTGGCGATTTCCCTTTTGAAGTTAAATATTTCAACTTCTCCATAAAATTTCCTTCATTTCTAGATGTTATGAATTCCATCGCCTGAGGAAAAAAACCTTCGTTTCGATAATTCAGTTTTAGAATCCATGCATGGAGCAAATCATCGTTGATATACTGAGTTATTCGTTCACTATCTGTAGGGAAAAGACTTTGAACAGACTCACGAATTCCAAAAATACTTGCAACGTTTAAAAAGAATACGAACAGGAGAGGTCATTGAGACGGCCGACCTCATAGAGGGAAAAATGGGAGCATTTGGGCTCGTAGTATTTAGCAACAGCCTGTTAGACGTACAACAAAGCGATCTGGCAAAGTTGCCACATTACGAGGGAGCGTTTTTAACCATAGGTGAAGCAGGGGAGCAGTGCGAGGTAAGATAAAAATCTAGGTGAGACTCTCCCGCTACCGTTCGACTATCGAGTGACTTGGAAAGAAATGAATTAAGTGACGAGGCATTGTTATTTTAATTGCCCTTGTTAGCATAAGACGTTAAGTTTCTTGTCGCCTTCTGTTGTTTTAATTTTCCGAAAAGTTTCATTTTAACCGGGAAATGTTATAAGATAAGTTAAATGAACTTAATATGAACATTTACTTCATTTTTATGATAAAAAATCATGTTACGTTCCAGTTAGGCTGAGAACGGCACGGAAAAATCGCCTTTAACGAATACATGTAGGATTTTACTACAATCCTAATCAAATCCTGTTTTTTGTGGATAACTTTTAGTTATTTGCATTTACTTATTACGACTCATATTTTTCTCTTCACAGAATGCTGATGATGTAATTAGTACTGTTTCCCGCATTAATTTCTGTAAGCTTACATCCTTCAACATTGTTTTATTTACAATGGTTGAAGGTGTAAAAAATCTTAAAGAAAAAATGCTAAAAGAGGGCGCTACTCTGGCACAGCATGGCTACTTTTACGTCCAAAATAAACCTCCAACTACAGCACAAGGTAAGATACTTCTAGAATTAAACAACTGTCCTCAGAAGAAAGTTTTAAAAACCTCATAGTCAACAGAATTGAATTATTTGATGTACTTGTAGAGTTAACAAATTCTATAATCTGAACTTGTTTTAAACTTTCTCCTTGAGAGCGTATTACATGCACAATTTATAGTAAGGTTTGGTGAATTAAAACGTTCCAGCAGTGTCGAAAGAAATTAGTAAGTGTATAATACGCATATATCATATTGTTGATACTCATTTTAATTTTTTTTAGGTCCGTATTTACAGGAAGCCTTGAAACCTTTGTAGTTGGACACTGGTCTGTCTCAAGGCAAATAACCTCGAGACATTTGTCCGCCAGTAAAGAAAATTTGATTTTCCTGAATTCATTCCCAGCACAAGGCTACACATGGCTTGTAGAAAACCTCTCCAGAGAAGGGGACGTGGTTATTGATGCTGGAACCCCCAATGGCTATGCAATGGTGGCTGCGTTGAGGAAAGGGCGAAGCGCAGTTAGGATAGACAGTACCGCTTTGCCTTCCGAACAGGCAGCGATAGAGACTAAAATTTGTAGTCTTGTATCTTCGTAGTCTGATTTGTAAGTTGAATTACCTACTCATTAAAGCTATGGGTCCCGTTGGGAGCCCTTAGATTCCAACCGTGAGGTTCATTTCACTTGTTTTATTTAAAAGCATGGAAAAAGCGTTAGGATGAAGAGTATTGTTGACGTATATAGAAAAACATTAAAAAACTAGAGTTGAAAATGACGGTATAGATTAGGACCCTTAAAATTTCCTATCTGAAACTACTGCAGAATTTCTTCAACACTACACGTAACATGGTGCAGAATTTCTGCAGCACTTGACGTTACACCGTGCAGAATTTCTGCAACACTTGACGGTACAGCGTGCAGAATTTCTACAGCACTTGACGGTACATCGTGCAGAATTTCTGCAGCACTTGACGTTTCATCGTGCAGAATTTCTGCAACACTTGACGTTACACCGTGCAGAATTTCTGCAGCACTTGACGTTTCATCGTGCAGAATTTCTGCAGCACTTGACGTTACACCGTGCAGAATTTCTGCAACACTTGACGTTACAGCGTGCAGAATTTCTGCAGCACTTGACGTTAAATCGTGCAGAATTTCTGCAACACTTGACGGTAAATCGTGCAGAATTTCTGCAGCACTTGACGTTACACCGTGCAGAATTTCTGCAACACCTGACGTTACATCGTGCAGAATTTCTGCAGCACTTGACGTTACATCGTGCAGAATTTCTGCAGCACTTGACGGTACACCGTGCAGAATTTCTGCAGCACTTGACGTTACATCGTGCAGAATTTCTGCAGCACTTGACGTTTCATCGAGCAGAATTTCTGCAACACTTGACGTTACATCGCGCAGAATTTCTGCTGCATTTGACGTTATCCAATGCAGAACCAGGTTATCGGATTTTTTAAATATTGTGTTAAAATCATAGACTTTATTGTTCATATATTAAACGTTCAGAGAATTTTGGGCACTTTCACCATGTTTAACAGACCATGCAGTGGAAAATGGAATATTTGTATGGGTAAAATGCCTTGACATTTAACTGTCCGTGGAATTAAACAAAGTTTTGCCCTTTTGAAACGACCCTTTTCCTTCCTCCGTGAAAATCGAAGTCTTTCTGGTGCTATCATTTATGAGACATTTCCGTGCTTTCTGCCTAGATAGTGCCACTTTGAGGTCACCCTCCCTCTAGGTCTTTAAAAAAAAGGTGTTATTCGACGTATTTTTGCGGAATTGACACTAATTTTACTCCTAAATAAGCCATTTTTGGCGGAAAACGCTATTTTGGAAAACACAAAATAGTTTGGAAAGCGTTCACAACCTACATCTTAAAATAGCTAAAGAAGTAGGAGACAAGCATGAGGAGGGTGTTGCTTATGGCAATCTTGGCAATGCTTATATTAGTCTGGGTGATTTAAAAAAAGCCATAGAGTACCACAACCTACATCTTAAAATAGCTAAAGAAGTAGGAGACAAGCATGGGGAGGGTAACGCTTATGGCAATCTTGGCAATGCTTATCAGAGTCTGGGTGATTTCAAAAAAGCCATCGAGTACCACGACCTACATCTTAAAATAGCTAAAGAAGTAGGAGACAAGCATGGGGAGGGTAACGCTTATGGCAATCTTGGCAATGATTATCACCTTCTGGGTGATTTCAAAAAAGCCATAGAGTACCACAACCTACATCTTAAAATAGCTAAAGAAGTAGGAGACAAGCATGGGGAGGGTAACGGTTATGGCAATCTTGGCAATGCTTATGACAGTCTGGGTGATTTTAAAAAAGCCATAGAGTACAACAACCTAAATCTTAAAATAGGTAAAGAAGTAGGAGACAAATCCTTGGAGGCAATGGCCTACTGTTCATTAGGATACGTTTTCGAGTTGCAAGGTGGTTTGCCAAAAGCCGTTGAATATTACCAAGCGAGCATAAACTTATTCAATTCCTTGAGAGTACTTCTAAAATCTAAAGATGAGTGGAAAGTTAATTTTCGAAATCAGTATCAAAGCGCGTATACGGGTTTGTGGAGAGTTCTCGTAGAACAAGGTAATGTAGATGAAGCCTTATTAGTTGCTGAGAAAGGACGAGCTCAAGCTCTAACCGACCTCATGGAATCCAGTTTTCGTGGTGGAACAAGTCACCACAAGGGAGAAGATGAAGATTGCGCAGTTTTAAAAAACGTTCCATCAAACACTGTCTTTCAGGCAGTGGACGAAGCTAACGTCAATCTTTGGGTTGTGTCCGAAGGAAAACAAGTTCAGTTAAGACAAAGTAAGCTGAAAGGTTTTGTTTCAGAGAATAGTGGATCTAGCCAGTCCTTTGAGTCGTTCATGCTCGGTGTCTATACACAACTTGGTGTTCCTTCTAATGTGAGATGCGAGAATCGATCTTTAGATGCTTTGAGGGAGGGCCATTCAAAAGTGGATGAGAAAACCAAAGAAGCCAACCCTCAACCTCACATCCAACAAGACGGATGCTTGAGCACTTTATATGATATCGTTATGAAGCCAGTGGCTGACTTGATTGAAGGGGATGAGCTACTCATTATTCCTGATGGACCCCTGTGGATCGCTCCTTACGCTGCATTGAAGGATGGTAATTCTAAATACCTGTGTGAATCGTTCACAATCCGAGTCGCTCCATCGTTAGCAAGTCTTAGACTCATTGCCGATTGCCCAGATGATTATCACAAAAGCAGTGATGCGTTACTTGTAGGAGATCCGTGGGTATCCGAGGTTACTAACAGCGAGGGAGAGAAAGTCCTCGAGCAGCTTCCGTTTGCTAAAGAAGAAGTAGAAATGATCGGAAAAATTCTGAATATCACGCCAATCACTGGTAGACAAGCCACGAAACGTGAGGTGTTAAAAAGACTCAGTTCCGTTTCCTTAGTTCACTTTGCGGCACACGGATGTCCGGAAACTGGCCAAATTGCTCTTACACCTGACCTAGACCGAATATCTACTGTGCCTACGGAGAAGGAGGATTACATTTTAACGATTCGAGATGTGTTGAATGTTCAACTTCGCGCCAAACTTGTTGTGCTCAGTTGCTGCCACAGTGGTCGGGGCGAGATCAAGGCTGAAGGTGTGGTTGGCATTGCGCGCGCTTTTATGGGGGCTGGTGCTCGGTCTGTTGTGGTATCCCTGTGGGCGATTGATGACGAGGCTACTCTCCAGTTCATGAAATGCTTTTATCAACACCTTGCAAAAGGTAAACCAACAAGCAAGTCACTGAACCTGGCCATGAAAAGCCTCAGAGAATCAGATGAGTTCCACGACATCAAATACTGGGCGCCCTTTTTGCTGATTGGAGATGACCTCACGTTTGACCTGATGGCAAAGGAAAGAGAAAATTTGAATAGAAAATCAAATAAATGAGAAAATGTTTTTTTTCATCTCAAAAGAATGAAGTGGGAACTTGGAAGGTTTAAATGTTTCTCTATTTTAAACAATTTTTGGCTATTTTTCTTTACTTTTTATTTTTTTGTTAAATGGAACTTGAGATGTGCAACTTTACTATGGTGAAGAAATAAACCAGTCTATTTCATTATATTTTGATCAGTGGAATTGTCATTCTTTGTTACCTTAACAAATTTAAATGCTTGCGAAGAGAACGAAATGCAACAAGGCCTCCAAGGTTTCCATTTCCACCAACATGTCACTCAGCTCTGTTCCTGTATTACAATCAGTTGTATGGAAAATAATTTAAAGGTTATTTCTTTTACCCAACCAGGGGCTTTTCCACCGGATTTTAATTACCTTTATGCTCTAAGCTTTTGATAAGCAAAGAAATAATTCGTCATTTGCAAAAGTTGGCGAATTTTTATTTCCAAAACTTTGATTGAATGTGTGAATTGATCTTAGACCGTTTTCTACATCATAAATTACTTTGATACAATTTACCTTCATCTTTACAAAAAAAAATTGATGACCATTTTGAACTCAATCCATTTTAATGCAATCTAGTTCTGTCAGTGCCAAGATTGCCATTTTAAGCTTAATTTGAAGAAGTAAACATCAGAGATGATGTTATTAAATTTACTAACCATATGTTAGAGACATTAAACCTACTTTTAGGGGTGTAGCCAGCCTCTAGTCCCGTAGGTCCGGCCTACAATCGTTTTCTGCCCGCTTGACTTTTACTAAAAGATAATATGACCCTTGCAAATGTTGAAACAAAACTTGAAATTTGTGAGGGAAGAGGCTTACATTTAGTCAGAAAGCTGGCTACAACCCTGTTTTCAATCAAACGAGTCTGGCCGTTCGTTTTAAAGAACGACGACAGAGAGGCTAAAAATTGTCCATGTAATCTAAACTGGGAAAGAGGGACGCAGAGTTCATTATAATTAAGGTTTCCATAGGTGTGACTTTTATTGTATGTGACATGGAATTTGTTGTTTCTAGTACGACAATATTTACGCTCATAAATGAGAGAAGCAGTTAACGTAAGCCATGTAGTCCTCAATGGGAATTATTTTGGTGAAAAGGCTCGTGAATTAATGTAAACCTAGTGCGTAGTTGAAAAGGTTCAGGGCTTCAGGATAAAACTTCTAATTGTTGAAAATCACTTCTTGAAATTTTTTCATCGCTTCAAATTTACCTCAGCATGATTTGAGGATGTCTGATGATATGCATGGTTGAATATAATGTAACTAAGATTTTAAAGACATGCTGGGACAGTTTCAACTAAACATGGTTTGTATAATGTCAGTGTATTTCGTGTGAAGTGTTTTGATGCTATTTTAAGTTGAAGATAATTGTTAATTTACCTTAGATTATATTAATTAACTCATGAACTCCCAAGTTCTGAAGAAAAATTCTCCCAACTGATAAGAATGTGTTTCTCTTTGCTGCCGCTTGTTCCGAGAATTCGATGTAACATTATGTTTCTAGGAAAAGATTATCCTCCAGTTTGGATTTTCTCGAATTGTTATTGACTCCATGTTTGTCGGTGTATTAATACCGTGAGGAGAATTTAAATTATGATCAGTCTTGGGAGTAAATGGGTTCATTTTAGCGTCTCCGTTTAGCGCGTATTTTACTTAATGCCTTGAACGATTTAATGCAGTATTATTATCAATATACGCGGCCAAATAGAAAATCGGCCTCTTCAAAACACACGCTCAGCGGGCCGCAAAAGACTGACAGCGGGCTGCTAATGCATTATCAGCCCTACAGCTGATTGGTTCTTGCTTCATCATCCGATGGATCATTTTAAGGTTAACTTTGTGATATGCCTATTATTTATAGACGATTTAAAGCATTTTTTCGGTAATTTTCAATAAGTTCACTAGACTGAGTTGATTCTTTAATAGCTTGTTCAATCAACACTTACATGATGATTTGAAGTGACTTTGAATTCGTCATTCACTTAGCTTGTATTATTAAAACTCGCATTCTTGATATCATTTGGCCTTGTTTATTGATAATAATGATAATGACATGACTTTTTGAGGGAATATTGTTTATTTGCGCCCGCGTAGTGTCATTTCGGGCCGCAAATGGCACTACGCGGGCGCAAATAAACAATATTCCCTCAAAAAGTCATGTTATTCCCTTATTATTGTGCTTTTTTTTACTTCTTCGTGTAAGAGAAATATACAGTGTATAAAATACAAAAACTGCGTTGATTTACATTCTTTGTCTCCATATTCTTAGGATACACGTAAGATGTGGAGAAAGCAGATCCTATGGGGACTTCAATGCTTGTTTTGACCCGCGCGCCAAGTTGATAATGTGTGCAGCTAACAGTGTACTTACATTCCATGTTTCAAGCCCCCGCCCACTTAACAAAAGCGTGTCATCTCTTCGATTGTGTCTCTTTCATTGTCTATTGTTCTCCGTATTGCCACACGGTTTTGAACGCCGACGGACGTGTTCATATCGTTACATGTCTGCGCCTTTTTTTATCTTTTTCCTCACACAAGTTTTTACACCTTTTCACATTTGCGCATCCCTTTATTTTTCTCCTTCCTCTGGTTCCTTCCATTTTTTTTCATCGCAATTTTCCTTTATTCCCATCTTTACGCGCACCTCTTTTATCGCCCTCAACTTTGTTCTTCTCCGCCCTTCATAGGACGCGACTATCTCCTTGTCTGTTTCAGTTTTCACTCGTCTCAATCTTCGCGCAACGTCAGGCTTCTTACAACTCATATACCTCGTCACTCCCCCATAGTAGTTTTGATCATGCGTATTATGTCCACTTTGGGACAGTGTCCTCTTAAAGTCATCTCTAGTGAAATCTCAGTTTTCCTTTCGATTGATTCCTAGTCCGCAGGGTGCCAGTGCTTGCTCTCCTCAGTCCTCTCATCACAATAGCAGTCATAAAGCGGAAGAGTTCCCTCCAAGTCTCGGCGACATAATCGGTGCATTTTGTTGGAAACGAGTCCCTCAATGTCCAAATTAAGGCTTCTTCTATCATCTGATTGGGAATGGGTCAAACTCTCGCCCAGGGTCCACCTACAATGCGTATCCAAGATGGCGGCAGGCCAATCCACAGCCGGACTCTACTGAGTCGGTAGCCGCCATCTCAGATGTAGACGCAGAGAAGACCCTGAGGAAGAGTTTTGACAAAAGAATAACTGAGAAAGGATAAGTTACAATAGTGCTTAGAGAGATAGCCGATGACAACTTGAGAGATTCATCATGAGCAAACACGTTCCTTCGATTATTAAACTCCATGTCTCCTCGAATACGCACTCCTATATGCCCCTCTTCCCCGTCCCTTTACATCCCTGTACTGCAAGGTTTATCATCATACAGCACAATACAACATTATACCCCTGAGTAGCACTGTAAATCCGTAAAATGCAGTAACTAGACAACGCTTCACAACAATATGTACCCCTAGATAGCTCTATGCTTCCCTCTACTGAATTTTAAATCACCTTACAGCGCTATATAAACAATTGCTCCAATTTGGCGCTAAAATAAGTGCGGATATTTGCGCCAGGTCGTTTTCTCGAATTTTCTGTTCCAAGATGCGGAAACTGTGGGTTTTGAGGTCAGATGACATCCAAGGACAAATATCCGTACATATTTTCGCGCAAAATAGACGCTATTGTGTTTTTCATCCTTCAAATATTTTGCAACGCACGTGAAAAATGTTAATGAACAGCTTACTGATTGAACACTCGATGAAAACCTCTGCGTCGTTTAAAGAAAACACAGCATTTTCCAGCGCAGTCATGACTCGTCTGACGTGAAGATACAGAGATCGAGAGTTGATTACGGCTTCAAGTTTCGAACTCGTAAAGGCGGGAAATATGTCTTGAATTCTTGGGTTGAACTCAAAAAGTCTGAACCAAAATCATTCATGATTATCGTTATCAATTCTGAATGATTGAAATTCGATCCACGTTTACTTTACATAATAAATTTTATTGCCATTTTGCCAGTTATACAAAGAAATCAAGACACTGAGCAATACCCACAACAAGACACAGCTACAATGTTGTGAATCTCCATCCTCATCTTCAATAGAACTATGCTATCACGAGGGTAGTGCGCGTGCGTTTGCATTTTAAAGTCACTTTAGCACAAAATAATGACCCGATTGGCGAGAATACAGGCTAAACACCCAACAGCGCTGGTGCTTTTTGTGTTTTGGCGTTTGCTCTCTAAAAATCCCGAGAAAACGTTTTCACTGTCTATTAAATTATTGATTGTTTTCATTCTCGGGTTCTTCTTTAAAACCGGAACTCGGTTCTTAGCGACTTGTTCAAGTACTGCTCTTATTTAAGAGTGCTTATTTAACTCAGATCGAGATGCCACTATATTTTTCGACTATATCAACTCTAGGCACCCTAACATCAAGTTCACTATGGAAAAGCAGGTTAATCACAAATTACCCTTTTTAGATGTCCTGATTGACAACCATGACACCAGTTCCTTTCTAACTAGGATTTCCCGCAAGAAAACTTTCACTGAGTTACTAACTAATTATTTCAGCTTCACCTCGTACTCTTACAAAGTGGGTCTCATTAAGACACTCGTTGATAGGGCTTACAAGATTAATAGCACCTGGTTAGGGTTTCACGAGGACATTAACAAGCTTACTGATATTCTAAAAAAAGAATATTTTCCCTGCTCATTTAATTAATCGAGAAGATTATAAACCGTTTCATTACTGGGACGAAAAACAATCATCATCCCCGTGGTTCCCCTCCTACCACTTCACCTACGTTCTACTTTAAGCTACCCTACATAGGCCACTTTTCTGCTATCACTCAATAAAAGATCCGCGATTTATGAAGCGCTATTGCAATGACTTGGATATCAAACTGGTTTTATCTTCCTTCAAAATCGGTAACTTGTTTGGTGTGAAAGACCCTGTCCCTGACCGGCTCCGTTCACGAGTGGTCTATAAGTATGTGCTGGTGTAATGCCTGTTACGTCGGTGTAACCTGCCGGAATTTTTCCACACGTGCTAGAGAGCACTTAGTAAGTGACAGGGCCTCTCACATCTTCAGGCATTTGAAAGATTCTCCGCACTGTCGCGCTCTGTGTTCAGATGGCAAAGGTGAGAAGTAACACGTTGGAAAATTGTTTAACATTTTGACAGGCAAGAACATACTGACAACAACTCAACACTTCAGCTATAAATTTGCATTTTGAATATGGTAATTGTGTCTTTGTGTCTTTGTACTATCAGTTAAGCTTCTGAGTTGTTCACCTGACATGTCTCGAGCCTAAAACTGTTGCAGAACAGTCTCCCTCGGCGATTGGGCCTCTAGGCATCTAACCTTTCTCTATAGTGTTGGTAAATGGCATTTGATGATGAGGTATTTACTATTATGAAGTGTTACTATTATTAATTTGCAGATGTCGTTGGACTAACTATCAGCGATATTGATGGGAAACCGCTAATTTTCAAGCACAATTAAAGTTCTATAAGTGTAGACAATGTACAGTTATACGCCATACTTGTGTAATTAAAAGAATTCATTTCGCGAACTTTCCTTCGTTCTTCAAACCACTAATTTTCTAATATTTATGCGGTACTTTCATAATTTATTCATTACAATTTCGTGCAAATGTAAAACGTAGATTAAAGCTGGCTCGATCTGTCCTCATGGGACATCCGGTGTAAAAGTGTGAATCATTACATTGGTGCAGAGGAATTATATTTCTGTAGTTATTCCGACATCCCTCAACGCACAAATTCAGACGAATTTACTCATTCTATAAGTCGCGAAGTCGGAAATTAAGAGCGTCCCACCTACCAGAAAAAATTGATTCCTAGAACATTTGCGCCAAAATGTCTGAAAAATTAATAATACCTGTACAAGACAAAGGGATTTTTGATAATATCTTTGCTTCGACTAGTCAAATGATGATATGAGCCCTTCATGTAACATAATTATAAATGACGTCATAAACTTGGGCTCCAGGCCTCTGCAGTGATCATGATGCTGACGAATAATACAATGAACTTATGTCTGTAACGTGAAAATTTTACATTTTGGAATTTTTAAATTACGCTTTGGCATTATTTCATGTCTTGTGTGAGCAAATGTTTTTGGTTTGAGTCGATGAAATTATCTGCTGAGAACTTCTATTTACGATTTCTTGTTCAACCCGACAGAAAACAAACGAAGGAAGGAAACCGTGGAGAACAATTCTCAAGCTAAATCTTCACGCCACTCAATGATGTTTTACAATATAAAAGGGAAGAAGAGCTCAAAAGAAACTTAGGAAAGAAAGCAGGCCAGGGACACGCTCCAGAGGTTCAAAAATGGTGAGGATCTGAGTGGTAATTATAAACGACAACATAAAACATTAAATCTAAACTACCATAACTTACAACTTAGTTCTTTTTTATTTGTTCAGCACTACGCTTAAAAGGAGAATTGAGAGGTATGTATCTTTGCATCATAAAGAGACTAGCTTTCTACTCTCGAAACCCCCACGGATTACTGCTGCTGGAGTCAGTGCAAGGTCAGTCCAACTAACCTGAGGTCGGTATATACTCATTGCACACCTCATGAGAAAATGATGGGACAGGGAGGGAAAACCAGGGCGTTGGCTAAATATATCGATTTCAATTCAGTTATTTTTAGATTGAAGAGGGAACCATTGTGGTTTCTTAATTTAGTTTCTTTATTGCCGAAGTCTAAGATTAAAAGAGCCAATCTCCTCGCTGTTTGCCAATACATCAATTGTATTCACTAGCGACTGCGGCTTATTGAGAGAGGCTGAATGTTTTTCGACACGAATGCGATGCGTGACATGTGTAAGTAAAAAAAAAACATGACAACCGTTCAAGACTGAAAACTATGAATAATACTGTCCCATTATTTTCCGTTGACGTCTCTAATGCACGCAAATCTAATAAAAGGACTGTTAAAGGGCTGTGAAAGAGATTGGACAAGTTGTTGGTAAGATAAGATCGTAGCTATTCTGAGTCACTATGACTTGAGGTGGCAAAAGTCATCTGTTTGTGCTTGTGTCATTACTTTAATAGAAGAGATTCTTCCATAGTTGAAAGGTTGAAAATATATCGATGAAAAGCAAAACAATAGTTTTCTGAATGCGAAATCCTTCGTACGCTTTAATCTTTAGTTCAGTATATATGTCCTATATTTGTAAGGGCACTTCAAGGAATGGCGTCAAAATCCACGGTGGTCCCTCTCCTTCATCCTAGCCCTGCTCCTCCCCCTCAGTGGCCTGCAGGCGGAAGTGACCCGTATAGTTGAGACGAATGTCCTTGATAAACAGCTGCAAACAGGATAAGTGGAGATGCCCACTCTTGTAGGTGCGGTAAAGAACAGTCGCAGTGGTGTCGTTAATGTTTCACTCGAGGAAGGTGAACAGTAACAAAAACCATGTCCAGGGAAGGTGAAGAAATTGGTAAACACAAGATCGCTAAGGTGTTTCGCGATCGTGGTAGCCAGATGAGGTTACGTTCACAATCTATCTCTGGGGACGCAGAGAGTTTGAATTCATATTTCCAATTCCAAGTGAGTTGAAAACGCGCGCAAATGTTTTAAGCTAATTTTACAAAGTTATTGTTCATTAAACTGAGCTACGCTGACAGTCTCCTCAGTTCATAGGAGAAAGCAATTTAAAACTTTAGCATGGAGGCTACGCGTACTCTTTTCTAGGAACTAGGGAAGGAGCGCCAAGGAAGACCTTTTAGTTGATTGATGTATGTCTTCATTAAACATTTTTTGTGACTCACGTCATGTTAATTAATGTTCACCTCTCCTTTTCAGATTTTCGTTATCCACGCATATACACCCGTCAAAGGATTCTTTACAAAACGATTTAATCTATTAGAGTATCACTGTCTAATCCGAAGAGCTAATGATAATTCTATCTCTTCAAGAGACTTTAACCCTTTAACTCCCAAGATCTGATTGCTAATTCTCCTCTCTCACTGCTACACATTTCCTTTCAAATTTGTTACGAGAATATGGTGTTAGATCATAATAATGACTTCTACCTGATAAGTTTGGGTATTCTCATTACCTGTTTGCAAAATACTGTATAGTTATAATAGGGAGAAGTTACATGTTAATCACATCTGGAAGGTAAAGGGTTTAAAGTTATTTAATTAAGGCAAACACAAGGTAACTGTTAGATAATCCTTAAGTTGTACATGTAATGTTATTCATATGTTATGCATGTAATGTTTTACTATCTTCGATTGCTGAAAGGTGAATAAGCGCATTGAAATCAAAATTGATTTCCTTCAGGCTCTGCTCACTGAACTACAAGTCTGCTGTCAGGTGACTAACGTGGACGCTATTTTAGTCCCTTAAATTTCTCATTTTTCAATATATGCGTCAGCAACTGAAATTAGATTCATGAAACAGGGACCTATTTTGGAACAAAAATCATGGCAATAACTGGTGTCGGTCGCAAAGGTAGAACGGACGATTACTGGTCATTCTGATTTTTCGGTCATTGCTAACGTAATTCAATTTTAATTGCGGTCATTAAAGCATCATCCTAGGCAGACCCTTACAAAAGTTTCACCAAAACTGCAGAAACGTGAAGATATTGGCTTAAACGCACAACATTGGAGTTATATCAAGGTGAAAAAATAAATTTTGATTTCAATCCAGCCTTTTTAATTTTCTCAAACACAGTTGCAAGTGCAATGACAACTGATTGTTCTTAATAAAGACGAAAGACGGCTGCTCATCCTATTTGGCGCAATTTTCGATCGAGCGTCGAAAATAA